TCACAGGACGGTTTAGACTGATTGACTGGAAGACGTGTAAAGATCGACAAGACTGCTTGAACTTATTTGACTGGAAGAAGCGCAAGGATCACAGGACGGTTTAGACTGATTGACTGGAAGACGTGTAACGATCGACAAGACTGCTTGAACTTATTTGACTGGAAGAAGCGTAAGGATCACAGGACGGTTTAGACTGATTGACTGGAAGACGTGTAACGATCGACAAGACCTCTTGGACTTATTTGACTGGAAGAAGAGTAACGATCGACAAGACCTCTTGGACTGATTTGACTGGAAGAAGAGTAACGATCGACAAGACCTCTTGGACTTATTTGACTGGAAGAAGCGTAACGATCGACAAGACCTCTTGGACTGATTTGACTGGTAGACGTGTAATGATCGACAAGACCTCTTGGACTTATTTGACTGGAAGACGTGTAACGATCGACAATACCTCTTGGACTTATTTGACTGGGAGACGTGTAACGATCGACAAGACCTCTTGGACTGATTTGACTGGAAGAAGCGTAACGATCGACACGGCCTCTTGGACTTATTTGACTGGAAGAAGAGTAACGATCGACAAGACCTCTTGGACTGATTTGACTGGAAGAAGAGTAACGATCGACAAGACCTCTTGGACTTATTTGACTGGAAGAAGTGTAACGATCGACAAGACCTCTTGGACTTATTTGACTGGAAGACGTGTAACGATCACAGGACGGTTTAGACTGATTGACTGGAAGACGTGTAACGATCGACAAGACTGCTTGAACTTATTTGACTGGAAGAAGCGCAAGGATCACAGGACGGTTTAGACTGATTGACTGGAAGACGTGTAACGATCGACAAGACTGTTTGAACTTATTTGACTGGAAGAAGAGTAACGATCGACAAGACCTCTTGGACTGATTTGACTGGAAGAAGCGTAACGATCGACAAGACCTCTTGGACTGATTTGACTGGAAGAAGAGTAACGATCGACAAGACCTCTTGGACTTATTTGACTGGAAGAAGAGTAACGATCGACAAGACCTCTTGGGCTGATTTGACTGGAAGAAGAGTAACGATCGACAAGACCTCTTGGACTTATTTGACTGGAAGAAGAGTAACGATCGACAAGACCTCTTGGGCTGATTTAACTGGAAGAAGAGTAACGATCGACAAGACCTCTTGAACTGATTTGACTGGAAGAAGCGTAACGATCGACAAGACTGTTTATACTGATTGACTGGAAGAAGCGTAACGATCGACAAGACCTCTTGGACTTATTTGACTGGAAGAAGAGTAAGGATCACAGGGCGGTTCAGACTGATTTGACTGGAAGAAGCGTAACGATCGACAAGACCTTTTTCGAGAATGAAGACTATTTTTATGGATATACAACTTCTTTATTCTGTATAGGCGGCGTGTCGACATAGACTCTAATGTCGTTGTCGTGCTTGACAATATTCATTGACCTTCTAAGAATATACGCTTAACCCTCTGTTACATCAACTGCGAGAAAACTCTCTGGATGTGTAAGCAATTAAGTACAACCTTCTGTACCTCCACACATTCATATATTCCGTCTTCCCACCAAGTACATCCATCAATACAGAATTAATGTAGGATACACACCCATCCATCACGGCATCTACATCATTCTCCTCCCCACCTACGTATTCCCAATCCTGGGCATCCGCATTTTCGTCCATCTACCAGAAAGTCTATCTACCAGAGAGTCAATCCAGCACGTCCATCTACCAGAAAGTCCATCTACCAGAGAGTCCTACCACAGAGAGTCCATCCAGCACGTCCATCTACCAGAGAGTCCATCCAGCACATCCATCTACCAGAAAGTCCATCTACCAGAGAGTCCATCTACAGAGAGTCCATCCAGCACGTCCATCTACCAGAGAGTCCATCTACCAGAGAGTCCATCCAGCACGTCCATCTACCAGAGAGTCCATCCAGCACGTCCATCTACCAGATTGTCCATCCAGCTCGTCCATCTACCAGATTGTCCATCAAGCACGTTCATCTACCAGATAGTCCATCCATAGAGAGTCAATCCAGCACGTCCATCTACCAGAGTGTCCATCCAGCACGTCCATCTACCAGAGAACCCATCCACAGAGAGTCCATCCTGCGCGTCCATCTACCAGAGTCTCCATCTACCAGAGAGTCCATCCAGCACGCCCATATACCAGATTGTCCATCCAGCACGTCCATCTACCAGAGTGTCCATCTACCAGATTGTCCATCCAGCACGTCCATCTACCAGATTGTCCATCCAGCACGTCCATCTACCAGAAAGTCCATCTACCAGATTGTCCATCCAGCACGCCCATCTACGAGATTGTCCATCAAGGACGTCCATCTACCAGAGTGTCCATCTACAGATAGTCCACCCAGCACGTCCATCTACCAGATTGTTCATCCAGCACGTCCATCTACCAGAAAGTCCATCTACCAGATTGTCCATCCAGCACGCCAATCTACCAGATTGTCCATCCAGCACGTCCATCTACCAGAGTGTCCATCCAGCACGTCCATCTACCAGATTGTCCATCCAGCACGCCCATCTACCAGATTGTCCATCCAGCACGTCCATCTACCAGAGAGTCCATCTACCAGATTGTCCATCCAGCACGCCCATATACCAGATTGTCCATCCAGCACGTCCATCTACCAGAGAGTCCATCTACCAGATTGTCCATCCAGCACGCCCATCTACCAGATTGTCCATCCAGCACGCCCATCTACCAGATTGTCCATCCAGCACGCCCATCTACCAGATTGTTCATCCAGCACGTCCATCTACCAAAGAACCCATCCACAGAGAGTCCATCCTGCGCGTCCATCTACCAGAGTGTCCATCTAACAGATAGTCCATCCAGCACGTCCATCTACCAGAGTGTCCATCTACCAGATAGTCCATCTAGCACGTCCATCTACCAGAGAACCCATCCACAGAGAGTCCATCCTGCGCGTCCATCTACCAGAGTGTCCATCTACCGGATTGTCCATCCAGCACGCCCATCTACGAGATTGTCCATCAAGCACGTCCATCTACCAGAGTGTCCATCTACGAGATAGTCCATCCAGCATGTCCATCTACCAGAGAGTCCATCTACCGGATTGTCAATCCAGCACGTCTATCTACCAGAGAGTCTACCAGGCATCCGAGGGTCCTGTCACTACAGTTAATATCCAAGAGAACAAACATATTACCGCCACTGACATAGACGACTGCATTAAACCACCGGTGTATCATCCAATCAGCCCCGAGTCTGCCCTTTTTAATAGCTAGTTGATAGTTCAATGATGTACAAGAGAAAATTGCGTGAGACGAAGCACTTCAAATTAATTCGTCACCATGGAAACGTGGAAATCTCTACGGATTAACAAGTATTTGACGACAATAAAACCTGCCCCAATCCTCCCAATCCTCCAGATTAAGATCTGTCAAGACAGTACCATCTCACTGTAGATGATGTCGTCAATGTGCGTGATGTGGGTCGGTAATTGATGGAGCTGCGAATGACTTTTGTCTTGTCGTTTTTCGGATCAGATGGCAGCAGTCCGGTGATAAAACTATGGGTTATGTCTTCATGTCTTTCGTTAAGAAAGTTTAAAAGAATCACAATTGTAATTCAAGCGCACACAGTTGTCTCCGGAGTTCAAATGGTTATACTCTGTGACACTATGGCATAAGTACCATTAAAGCAAACGACGAATCAATCTCACAGATGAATGTGGATCAAAAGCATTGGAAAGCGGAAGGTCGCTGGTTCGACAAGAATTTGGAGTTAATATACTGGAGTCGAGTGGAATACATGCTGCATGATATATCAGTGGGATTGCACTGCAGAACTTACATCAGTCCGGGACTAGTACGCACGCACGCACGCACTCACAGCGCTATATTGACATAGGTTTATGATGGCACATGATGTACATATTCAGCCACAGAAGTGGGAGTCAGGTAGCTGGGTAATCCATTGCTTTGAGCAATATTCCGGTAAAATCACGGCAGGGGGCACCAGAAGCGGGCACCACACACATTGTACCGACGAGGGGAATCGATCCCGAGCCTAGTTGTGACAAGTGAAACTTTAACCACTGGGCTACCTCCTATCGCCGCGCTCACACAAAAGACGCCAACCTACACCACTTTTGGTGTCCAACGATGAGGTATTCCTAAGATCTTCTAAAAAGATATGAATACCAAAAGTTGCCCGAACACACACCGTTTTACGTTGAGCTTGATAACCCGGAGGAAAACCTTTCCAGAACAAGACTCATCTGTTGGTCAATGGTACACATGCTTAGTGTTCAGTATGCAGATACAACGTTCTCGTGTTTCTTGCGGGTTTTCTATTGACAGCTTCTGTATTTTTGTTCTGGCCAAATGCAATCAGATCTTTGCAAAGAATATATTTTAAGACACGTATTTCACTGCAGTCTGTCAGACATTACAGTCTATACACAAACATACCAACATACCATGTTGTTAAGACATTTGTGTAAAAGATTTCCCACGTACAGTGCGTTTCGAGCACACGTGTTACGTGATGACAGGCTTCACACAGAGAAATGTCAGGCAGGATCAGTAAATGGTCAGTCTAGAGTGCAGGCAAAACATTTGTGCAAGTGAACTCTGTTCTGTTGAAGTTGTAAAATGTTATAGGGTACACCCAAACAGCCCAACTAATGCCTTGCGTGTTTTTCGACAAATGGCAATAGTAAACAATGATATTTTTATTTATATGAAGATTTAGCAAAGTAATACGTAGCTGTACAACAATAACTGTTGATAAGTAAGTGCTTGACCTACTAGGTCAACGTCCTTGTTTGAAGTATTTACTTTCAAGCACATATTCCTGTGGATTGAGTCAGCATAGACTTGTTTTCAGCTATTAATGGCAATAACATCATGGGTCTTGAGTCATGGGCTTTTTGAATATGACTCGCCAGAATATTTAACACATCGGAGGAAGGAAAGCGTTCTTGATACTCGCTGACAATGGGTGTGACTTTCAAAACTTTAATATCCGGGAGTGATTGACCAACTCCTCCACGCCTTGGGGAGCGCTTCCCCTCGCAGGCCAGTTGCCTTGGTAAGGAATGTGACAGGCGGACATGCGCCTTCGGGCATACCGGAGACTACACAATGGCCACGTCTCTCAGAGACGCCAACAGCGTGGCCCTGGTGAGTACATTAACTTCAAAGTACCTTTACTAGAATTACCAGGGAGAGATTAAAAATTACCTCGAACAGAGCTTTGGCAATCATTGTAATAATATCGTCGAGCTGATCGATAGTGATGGAATAGAGGAACTCTCGGGTTAATAGCATTTGAGAGGATAATAGGTCGACCGCCACAAAGCTGAGAGAGCGGCCGGAGCTATTGCTTACATACTAGTTAACGGTCATCAGGCTATTTGCTAGAAAAAGGTCCGCATTTCATATAGTTCTGATTAGTGGAGTAGCAAAGTAGATGAGTTAGAACTGGGATATGACAGCCGCCATCGGGGCTCTGTGTTGCTGCCATAAATGTTTGGTGGTGGTAACAATACAGTGAGTATATGGGGAGATGAGTCAGTGAGGGAGAGAGAGAGGGGGTGAGCGTCCGGCTGAGCGAGTGCGTGCGTGCGTGAGTGAGTGAGTGAGTGATATGGAAATGGGTTTCTGGAACAATGGGTGTTATGCTACAACGCATGTTTTAACAATGTTCCACCATAAATCGGCTTCAAATATGGAAATCAAGTAGGCTCGCGATAGGTACCAATTACAGTAATACTAGGTCTTCTTCAGTAAAGAAACGTATCATAGGAGGAAATGATGGGCGATTGAGTGGGTTGATGAGTCTTATCTGAAACACTGCGCTGATTTTAAACAACAGAAACGTTTGTTATTGGTTCGAATGAAAGATTCTAACCAATTTTGACCACTGGTACACAAATGCCCTCAAAATTATTTCTTAAGCCGTTAGCATTAGTATAGTGAACAGAATAGTACACAGAAGATCGGTTGGCAATATTAAGATAATAGTTTTTGTGCCTTAATCTTTATTTTGAAGATTACGGGAGACGAAGCTGAACTGGGCTATGGAAAGCTAATTGTGCTCTCTGACGTTGATCAATATCGGATGATATTAGGGCCAATTCATACAGAAATAGCTACTCATATAATGGACCCGGAAGTGACCGTGTAGCTCCCTATACACTTGATGCCTCCACCTTCCGGATTAGGCGTAGGGATACAACAGAGAAACAGATAAATGCCTTTGAAATACGCTGCTCATGACACACAATTTAGTCAAGCAAGAGGTTATTAGTTCTGCCCTTGTAATATTCCCTTTTAAAGTAACTTGCGGTGCTTCTTTTCCAAATTCGAAATAGTGAAACGAGACCTTTATTTTATGTGGCTGCAGCGTCTGACTCGACGAGATTTCTCTATTTCATATTCTTCACTTGCCCTATAGGTAGGTTTGATCTTTATCCATTCTGGAAAGATTCATATATGCCGTAGCTCTAAAATGTCAGATTGAGAGCTATCTGAATGAAAGATTGTGTGTCCAGCTGAAAACCAGTAAATACAAGAGTAAGCGGACAAGAAGGAACTCACGCCACTGTGAACGGAATGAAGTAATAACCCGGCGTGCCTGATTAATGTGACAGGAACAGATTCAAGATGAAATGCCCGGGGAAAAGCAGCCAAATCTGAAATGACAATATTTTCTTATGAATCATAATTTGCTTAATAAGTAAGTTAGGTGAATATGAAATTCTTCTAACCTACGACTTCAGGTCATACTTTGGCAATCTAAGTGAGACATTATGTACAGAAAAATGTCTATGTTGGTAAACTAATCTATATTTACCTGTCATATTTGTCAAAGTGCTAATTGAAATACGTATTAAAGTAACCATTAGTAACTAAAATGATATATGCTGTAAATGGGTGTTGAAGGATTCAGATGACAGAGACCTAGTTGCCCCCTCTCTCTCCAACAATTTGGTGCAGCCTTACCAGTCATGTCATGGTGTCATGTCATATAATTCGGTACCTTTAACTTCGAATTGGCCTCTTTCCTTTAAGTTTAATGACAGAAATTTAGTTAACGATAATGTGCAGCAGCTGTTCATTTTAAAAGAACCTAACTCGAAGTTCCACAAGACGATATGCCTGCAATCTTTAAAACTACACTTATAATGAATGTTGTCTCTGATATATCTATGCGAAGGAAGAGACGTTGAATACGGCCTACATGTCCCCACTGAAAAGAAACCTCTGACAAGCCTTCAAGAATAATACGCGGCCCACGATATCGGAACTCTCAACACTGCTCTTGTTTGACGTTAATTCAGTTGGAAATAGTCCTCTAACGCCCAGAAGAAGAGTCTCCTTTAACAAGCTGTACATTATAGCGGTAGTAAACTCCTCACACACCTAGTCTGTATGACGTTAACAAGGTTATCCATGCTCCTAACACAGCTGCGACAAGCGCATCCTTTAACACGCCCGAAACCAAACGGATAATGACAAGGCAATAAATACATTTTGCCAGTTCAGTGTCATTCAGTAAAAAGGAATCGATAGAGACGTGAGATAATTGATGATGTGATTGATTTTGTTGACGCAATCATATATGTTCTGATCACTTGTTTAGATACGGCTCGGTAACGTCCCAACAAGACGTCTAAGTGATTCTAATCCATCAAACATTAATACGACGTTGTCTTCTCGTTCTATATACGTTTGCCATTTCATTTCATGCAACTGCATGGAGCTTCTGTAATGATTGTGCCGGGAGCTCTCACAACCAGTTTCAACGTGATACTGAGTCAATACAAACTCGCATCTAAAACAATTTCCCACATCGTTCTATCGACGCTTTGATGAAAGCTTTAGTGAAAGAGCATTGTAAATAATCGAAATCCGATGTCATTTTCTGAAACAGTGCGTAAATATCGATGACAGTGCATAAGTGTATTAGAAAGAGACTTGGGTAGTTTACGACCGCCGGTGTATTTGTGAGGAAATGGTGATTGTAACAGAATGTCCCTGTGTGTTTACTGAAGAGATGATCTTGTACTATTGCACTGTAGCGCATTAACTGATGATCGGATTGATCCGATACCAAATGTACTTATTGCTATTCTGTGAAGACGAATATTTGGATGGATAATAATATGGATAACTTGATTTGTATAACTATACAGTATCCGATAAATACTGGAATCTAATGAAAATCAGAGTAGGATTGATTGTATGGTTTCGTCTTTGTAACAATAAGCGAGTCATCTATGATCCCGCTGTGTGGAGCTGTCCCATTGCGTTACCATTACACTACTTGCTTGCGGCGTAGAACATGCATTCTCTCTAAAGGAGGGTCTTTATATGGTGCGTTAACGAACCGCCGTTATATTTGAATGATGAATTTACAAATCACGGCTGAGATTATCCCCTTGTGTTTGTCCCATGTCACATCACAGGTTCATCATGTAAGAAAAATCAACGTTTTCTGTTTGAGAAAATGAAAGCAGTATTCCAGCAATTTGCCAACTAAATGATTGATTAATCGACTCATCCACGCACTCGAGTGTTTTTAGCAAGAGCAGCCTTCAACGTTACAGTTTGCAGGTGGTTCATGGTAATAAGTGAGTATCACCCTGTAACAAAAGACACATTCTTAGTGATGGAGATACAGGAGGAATGAACTATAATTACAATTTACAGTAACTGTTTTCTTAATGCGACAGTTCTATAGAGTTACATAGATATTCATATGCTAAAGTTGTGAATGATAAATAATTGTACAATTTTGAGGACTAAAGGTTTTCTTCAACAACGTGGTGATGTATATTTTCCAGGGCCGGCTTATAGCTGGCTCTTATGTATGACAAGCCGATTTCACATTTATTAAGGAATACGGATATCTTTAATTGTTTTAAAGATATCGTGAACGAAAATAGAGATATCATGAATTGAATAAAATATATCTCAAACAATGTATTGAAAAACTACTGATATATTAAATTGTTTTGAAATGAATTAGATATAACTATTCCTGTTACTTGTATAAATATATCAATAATTGATTTAAATATATCTTTAAATTTGTACATGATATCTTAAATTGAATTAATATATCAGTAACGATCAGAATTGAAGATACCTCTAATTGAAATAAAGATATCTATAGTTGAATTGAAGATACCTCTGAGTTAAAAAGATATCTGTAATGCTTTTGTGGATATGTATAAATTAATTTAAGATATCTTGAATTGAATTCAACATTTTAATTAATTTGTGTACAGTTGTGTACATTATAGTTTCTGTCTGTCGTCGCTATCAGGGTTCAGTTTCAGCCCGCCGCTTTGTGTTTCGTGACTCTCATCATATCATTTTCTGATCACAATGAAATGATCATTTATTTATCATATATCATATCATATCAGTATTGAGAGAGTTCACTTAGGTGGATGTCCATTCTCCCTTCAAGTTGATAATGTGGCCACCCGCTTCGAGGAACTGAAGGGTTATCTTCTTTCTCAGTCCAGGAACGGAAGATATGTGGTCGCCAATGGTACTGCATTTACCTTTACATTGATATATGACGCACTTCCAGTGTGTGGCTACTTGTCTCACAACATTCAGTCGATACATGTGTAGTACCTGTCTTCCTCTTCTCTGAGACAATATGAACTCTGGCCTCTACGGGTTAGCCATTGTGACTATCAGTGCTTGGCAAACACTCCATTTTATAGGGTTACGCTGGTTTAAAGCCTATTAGTAGCAGAGAACTGAGTATTTTACAGTGAGAAATTAACTACATGTATATCTCATCATTGTTTTTACAATTTAGCTTATGCAGTAATCCCTTTCATCTTATTATAATCCAGTTGTAACTTCTTCGTGGATGCACTAATCCTCTCTACTCCACTACATATCCTTATAACAACAGTCGATCAAGATTAGTATGGCCCTGACCAGTGAGTCAGGCTCATTATAAGAGTATGGGGGTGCATTTTTTAATCACAATTAGCCTACATACTGTAGAGACTAAACCTCCTCACATCCAGGGTTGGGGGACACAGAGGGTGGGGCGGGTGGCGCCTGGTGAGTGCTACCTGGTGGTGTGGATGGTGTCCAGCGTCTACAGCCAAACGGTGTCGGTGTGTGTGTCCGTTTGTCTGTGAGTGTATGTGAGTGTATGTGTGTGTATGTGAGTGTATGTTTGTATGTGTGTGTATGTATGTGAGTGTACGTGTGTATGTGTGTGTATGTGTCACTGTGTATGTGTGTGTATGTGTGTGTATGTGAGTACGTGTGTATGTGAGTGTACGGGTGTATGTGAGTACGTATGTGTGTGTATGTGTGTATGTGAGTACGTATGTGTGTGTATGTGAGTGTATGTGAGTGTATATGTGTGTGTATGTATGTGTGTATGTGTGTGTGTCTAATATCTTTACAAAGGAATTCCAGATACGGGAACCCATCACCGAATATCAAATATATTTTATTCGACATATGATGCGGAAACCAATTTAATAACCTCAGTGTATGAGCAAGCGTATCACGTGATCATGAATATGCAAATATAATCACTTAGCTAGAATACTTTGTGAGCAATATATATCACTATATAACTGAATAAACTAATAAATAACGCTCTCAATTAGTTTGGGATGGGTTTCTCTACGAAACCAAAAACACTATAGCATTCATCTCTGTCTCCAAACTCTCGCTTAATACGAGTTGTGTTCCTAGTATGTGATGGCGGCTATACTATGGAAGCGTATTGGTGCCACTGTCTAAAGAAACTCATCTTCTACATAGATGTAAAAAGATGATAAATACATTTTAGAATGTGGCACCCTTACGCTTCCATATTATACGGGTTATAATCTGTATTTAATTGACGTTATCGTGTATCAGTGATAAAAGGGAAACGTAATAAAAAGCCACAAGTCACCCGCATCGTGACCCTGACGTTTGACGCCAGAGAGCCCATGGTCCATGTGTATCAATCTCTGTCACTTAACGGTTCCAGATGGTCCGTCACCGGATTTGTATCCTGAATATTTATAACAAACTCGACAGGATCATCATTCACTTGGAGTGCTGACAGAGCATGAAGCATCACATACCACTGTTGTGTATATAGGTTAATAGCCATTGACCGATTCACAATATACATTGGTATGTCGATTTGACACTCCGTCACTCGTGTTCTGCAGTGGAAATGACTTACAATGATATACAGTGATGATGTTAAACAAATGCAAGCTAAACATTTATTGAAACCAATGGTCGTGCTATATATAGTATACTGAAAGTCAGCTTAGTTTAACTATTTAAAACATACCTTTGACGTCAATGCATTGTTTATTCACAGGCTGACTGTCAGGTATTGATGTGTGCGTTATCTGGAACCCACGTTTCAGTTAATGTGGAAGTGACAGAACTTTTACCTTCCACACTCTAGGGAATGATTTCGGATGTTTGTCGGAAATGGAGGTTCGTGAAAAGATCTACAGTCCTCGGTATTTGTATTCATGAACCGAGACTTGTATATTTTCCAGTGTATAATTATTACAATGTTTTTACGACAAACGCGTTGGACGAAAGAGAGAATAGGCATGCTACTCTCCGAGGTACAACGTATGATTGCTTAAGTGGGTGTATAAGGTGGGTTATGCGTACCACAGGGCCGGGAACCCTTGCTGATTCTACAGGTTGTTAGTTGCATCTGTAAGCCCTGGCTCTGTGTCGATCCGAAGCATAGAAATGGCGTAATATTGGAGGTTAGGTCGGTGAGTTGAAGTGGGGATTACCATCTCGTTCACGTTTATTGAACTCACATAGCATCGTTAATTTATGTGTGTGTGACTGCTAGTACCGGTCCAAACGTATGCCAGTTTTTTTATACTAGCCCATTGAGCATTTGAACATGGATACTCTTAGACTCAATGAAGGGAGTCGAGTGGTCTTTGTTTATTCACTTTCAGGTTTGGAAGAACTATTGTCAGTGTGTACAGCCGTTCTCAGACGACCATGCAGAAATTGGCATATTAAAAAATAAACACAAGTCGCTAACTGTGAGTATGGACAACTCTGATGGCGACATTCCTTCCAGAAGGAGCACGCTTGGGTCAGGATTGGAACCCGCTGAGGAGTACGCCCACATGCACAATGCGGAACTGAGGGATGTCGGGCTTGAAGACCTATCCTGAACGACGTCATCAAGGACATAACTCATCGCACGACATCGTCACAATCTAGTCACCTGGTGACGAATCTACGGACCTGAAAACTCCCTTCTGACTAAATGGCAGATCTTGCGTATGGACAAGAACAGCATATGTTAGGAGTGCGGTGATGTTCCTACCAGTTTCAAGGACAACAATGGTCATCCTAATTGCGATCATTCCCCGATTCGAAAGTTATTGAACACGAACGGGTCATTTTAACCACAGGGGCAAAACATCCAGGAAATGTATGCAGTGTTCCCCCAGGAGTAACAACAACAACAACTTACACTGAGCAGGGTCTTCAACTCACACTGATGAGGATGTTCAAGTCACATTGAGCAGGGTGTTCAATTCACATTGAGCAGGGTGTTCAACTCACATTGAGCAGGGTGTTCAGCTCACACTGAGCAGGGTGTTCAACTCACATTGGGGAGGGTGTTCAACTAACATTGAGAGGGTGTTCAATTCACATTGAGCAGGGTGTTCAACTCACATTGAGCAGGGTGTTCAGCTCACACTGAGCAGGGTGTTCAACTCACATTAGGGAGGGTGTTCAACTAACATTGAGAGGGTGTTCAACTCACATTGAGCAGGGTGTTCAACTAACATTGAGCAGGGTGTTCAACTCACATTGAGCAGATGACGATAGCTAGCACAGTGGCGGATACAGCTTTGGGGGTGGGTGGGTGCACATTTCATGTTCACCTGAGACTAAATAGATCGGCCTATGATTAAAAAACCTTTCAGGATAAAAGGGGGTCGGGCTGGGGACGCGCACATCTGAACCCCTCTCTGGATCCTCCTATGCTTGCATACACAACTCCATCAGTTAATAAATCACGTTGACATGTACATGAGCCATCTTTGGCGTTCATGCATATCAGATCTGAAATTAGGATACGTTGCAGGTTAATACTTTTCCTTTTTTAAACTCAAATATTGTGGTCATTTGAAGACTGATTTAGAATTGCTTGTCAAGATTTAGAATTGTTTACACAAATATCACGCGATTTTGATTTGTCTGTGTTTCCATGCTTTTATCAACACGCCTGTTGTCTGTGGATACCAAATTCAGAAGCCAGTCAGTTGGGTTCTGTCACGGCATTAAGTTCCGGATTTCACTGTGCAAATTTTGTATTCGAAGCCATAATGATCTTTAGTCTGCCAATACCCGTGCTCAATAAATTGATCAAAGTGTTAGGACATCAACAACATACGGGTCTCCGACTCGACGCTGACGTCATACATGTGTAATATACTGCACGTCGTGGACACGAAGCCGGACGATGACATCTCGTCAACGTGTGGCAAGGTATGTTCCGTCGTTGACATGTTCGACGATCTGAGTGGGTGAACGGGAGGTTTCCAGCGATGTCACGGCGGAGGACAATATACTTGGACTTCACACATTGTACCTATGTTGGGATACTTTGTATCTTCACACGTGTTGCACATGATCGTCTTCTAAAGATGACTGGATGAGTGGGTGAATGCTATTTATCGCCACACCCAACAGAACTCCACATTTATCATAACGGTTGAGTCTGGACCAGACAAACCAGTACCTAACAGCTATCGATCCCCGCTATCGGGACATGATGCCACTTCATCTCTGAGTGTGAATCCCACCACAAGCCATGGGGCACCGCGAACCTGATCCAACTCCTGTCCCAAGGGCTTCTAAATAGCATGTAAAACTAATTCTACTGCTACATGTGGAGCTGGATGTCTGGGTTAGGGCGCCCTGCCCTGTCAACACTGTCACTGTAGACCTTGCTGCATACCATATACAATGCAAAGATGCAACATTCAACATTCAACAGATGCAGTACTGTAACATCTCTCTTCCGCTTCTTCAAATACGGAGGTTAGACCGACTCGACTCACGAACCACCCGTTCAGAGATCTCACTTTTAAAAAATGTAAACTTTCTACTCTTTCGTTTTTAAACAATTGCCGAGAAAAAATAACTGCATCAGTCAAAGAGAGAAAATAACTCGTGGCGGCAAGAGAAGCATGTGTAACTTGGTATGAAATGTTGAGAAGTTACACGTTTTGTGTTAAAACGTGTATATAATTTATTCGCTTTGGTTGGGTGAGTTGAGTGAGTGAGTGAGTTGAGTTTTACGCCACACTCAGCAGTATTCCAGCTATATGGCGGCGGTCTGTAAATAATCGAGTCTGGACCAGACAATCCAGTGATCAGCAGCATGAGCATCGATCTGCGCAATTGGGAACCGATGACATGGGTCAACCAAGTCAGCGATCCTGACCACCCGACCCCGTTAGTCGCCTCTTACGGCAAGCACGGGTTACTGAAGGCCAATATTCTAACCAGGACCTTCACGGGAACTTTGGTTGGGAAAAAATGAAAATCATTGTGCGTTATCCAAAATGTGTACATGTGTTTAGACAGACTTACGATCAACGCATAACCGGTACGTCACCAGTACTTAACGAACTGTGTTATAGTAAACATCAGTGAGTTGATAGTATTGATAGCATTGGAGCAGTATTGACGTGCAGGACGTCCACGATCTCAACAACAGAGGCTGTCGAGGAAGGACTACAGACGAAGAGGTTGCATGTTCCAACCGAGGTTGCCAAAGTGTTGTGTTAATATATGTGTTTTGGTTGTATCTACCTTAACTTTCTTATTAACCACTTCCTCCACTTCAACCGTGCTGCACTGTACGCTTAGTCTCATCGGTCTATCTTGTGAGGAAATAGGAGGATGGTTGGTATAGGATCTGAGGTTGGTTGGATGGTTGGTTGGTTGGTTGTTTGTTTGTTGTTTAACGCCGCACTCAGCAATATTCCAGCTATATGGTGGGGGTCTGTAAATAATAATAAAAGTCTGGACAAGACAATACAGTGATCAACAGCATGAACATCAATCTAAGCATTTAGGATACGATGACATGTGTCAACCAAGTCAGCGAGCCTGACCACCCGATCCCGTTAGTCGCCTCTTACGACAAACATGGGTTGCTGAAGACCAATTTTAGTCCGGATCTTCACGGGTCAGATTTTTAGGACTCTTTTGTGAGGAAATAGGAAAAATGTTATAGGACTCATAGTCTCTCGTGTAAAGAAACAGAAGAACGGTTGTTAAAGAAATTGTGGACTCTCTTCAGAAGAGATGGAGGGATGAGTGGTATGGGACTTGCGGAGCCTCTTGTGAGGCATACGACTGGTGGACTCTTACGTTAATCAAAGGTATTACAAGGCTGGGATGTTCACGTTCATTTCCAAATTGTTACAGCCAAACTTCGGCTGCTTCCAATGAAGGATCCTCTATATTAACATTACGAACCTAAAGAGCGTTGTTCCTATAATAAAAACCTATAATAAGAGAGTAAAGAAATGAGCCGGGAACTATAGTTTTGCATGAATTAGTTTTAAAAAAATACATTGGAATGTCAGCGTCGGTTGGAAGGTCACGATGTCGTCTGCCACCATGTAGCTGGAACCTCGTACAACAAATCCAGGGCTGGACTGAGGGTTTGAATCGCTTACATTTACAATTCCCAACAACGCTAGCGCATCAGTAATGGGCTGTGTATCGATCGACAGTGTCTGTTTTCAGATAACGAACCACAATCTTCCTAATGCTCCGCTGCAGCTCGAAATAGCGCCGGAGCGATCACGGGTTCATTTTTTAGCCGCTGCAAGTTGGTCATATATCTCGTCCGCTGGACGACAGTCGTGATGTTCACAGGCGGCATGCTGCGGGGATATGTCGGTACTGCGCGAGACAAACAACCCCTCCCTCAACAACAACAGAGGGCACATTGGGACCGTCAGCTGCTGCCGCACGGAACAACGGGGAAATACATCCAACATCAATGGCAGCTGCAATTCAAACATCCACAGCCAAGCGACCATGATTTGCACGATGTCATGGCTTTAAAGGAACACAACGGGCACGCTGGACTTGGAAGGGTATTTGAAAACGTGCCTAGTTAATAAGTCGGTTGGATCAGCTGGAATCCCATATGACCAATGTCCAGATCACTTGGGCGTGCAACAGCCTTGATGCGCTGTCAGAGAAAACCGTGATCTTTCTCTCTGCGTCTCCTCGAGCTTCATGCAATTACCCCAGTGAGATCAATACAGTCTACTTACTTAAGTACTGACCCAGGGAGTGGAACAAATAGACCTGAAGATTTCTTGTATTACCAGCTTATCGTGATAAGAATCGCCTATAAGGATTAATTTAAGAAAATATACTTGACATATTCGAACTCTGACTGAGGTATCTATTAACTGTCTCTTTGTGCGGACGGGACGTGTTTCTACAACTGAGTTTAAATTGAGTTTATGGGACTATAGGGAGGGGAATGGCACTGTAAACTTTTCTTTTAATTTTCTTCTGACCTGGAAATATTGTCAGGGCCATGGGGGTGCTGTCGTCGACTCATTCTGTTCATGAGTGAATCGTCTGGTCCAGACTCGATTATTTACAGACCGCCGCCATATAGCTGGAATATTGCTGAGTGCGGCATAAAACTAAACTCACTCACTGTCGTCCAAGGCGAAGAAGTTCGCTTTCGAGGCGAGGTGAGGAGAGAGTTCATCGCACTTATACAGAGACTTGAATGCACGTGCGTGTGAGGCGGCTTGTGCTATGCACATTTAATTCTGGTTTTAGAATACTAGCCCTCTGAGATACAATGCCGTAGTTTAACATAGACAACCCACTCAGACACAGTATACGGACTCCAGACGACCAGTACGTGGTTTCATCAATGACATCATATGGGTAGGTTTCTAGGCAGCTAGCAACCAACGTATCTCTGGGGGTCATACAGACATGTCGTGACAGGTCATGTAGGAACGCTTTTAGTGTTTCCGATAACCATTTGTCGCCCTTGTCAGTCAGTAATCGAGTTAGAACTTTAGAGGTATAAAATTGCGAAACAATTTAGCGAGGACTTCAACCCAGAGGGGTCAGTTTCATGTAGACCTCTGCGAATTGTGTCCTTTACTCAAATGTAAAGACGCCCGAAGTACGTCCGAATTCTTAGGGTTTCGTTTTGCTGCAGTGTGAACATCTAACTCTGCACTTCGTCAGCATATGACAACCCCCTCAACCGCTAAACGCCTCATACATGGAGTGAGAATAACCTCCCTTTGATAAAGCGCAGGCACTCTTATCTGCGCTGTAGATATCATCTGTAGTTGGGCTACCGTCTTAAGGTACGGGAATTACATTGATTGCTGTTACTGTTGACATAACACTGGCCTTCTGACGTAATATATATCAATGCGCACATTCCAAGAAAGCTCGCAATTTTAGCATAATCTTTACATGAGTGAGTGAGTGAGTTGGGTTTTACGCCGCTTTTAGCAATATTCCCGCAATATCACGGCTGGGGACACCAGAAGTGGGCTTCACACATTGTACCCATGTGGGGAATGGAACTCGGGCCTTCGCCGCGACGAGCGCGATCACTAGGCTACCCCCACCGCCCCATGTTTACATGAGATGAGAACAGGTTTTGTAACGAGAGAATCTAAGAGCTATCTACATACAATGTTTATTCCCGGGAGAAAATCATTACATTGAAAAGACACCCTCGTGTTATAATCTCCAAATCCACTGATCATCAGGACTAGGCAGGGTAT